ATACAAGTGCCAAAGGTGGCACGTGGGCATCACTTGAGCCCAGGGACAGGCCCGTGTAAGGTTGGGTGTGTGGAGGGGGTGACCGTGGAGCGCCCAGGGGCGACGCAGGGAGGAGCAAGCCTGTGCGACGCGGAGCGCGAGGATTAAAGCGGGCGAGGTACAAGTGGGTCAGGCTGCCAAGATGGCGATTGTGCCGAGAGTGGGGTGGGCGCACGCTAGGAAAGGGGCAGGTGAAACTGGGGGCAGGGATGCCTCCTGCCTGCACGCTGGCTGGCACCTAGCCCTGGAATGGCTCCGGCCCTCAGCGCTCTGCTGGCAGGCAGCAGGCGGGAGGCCCTGGAGAGGGAGCGGGCTGCCCGCCCACCCGCTTGCACGGGGTGTGTGTAAGGGGGCTGGGCACGCACGTCCCGCCAACGACTGCAGCCTGGACCGCCTGCCGGGCCAGGCTCCTGGACACTCCCTTCCCGCCTTCTCGTCCCACCCCTTCTTGCTTCCAGTCCTCCAGCTTCGGATCCACAGACAGTATCAGGACCCGAGTAAGTGTGGGCCCCGAAAGGGAGGGGATGGTGGCCTCCCCCCAGGCCACCAAGGGTCCAGGGCTGACCCCCAGGCCAAAGGGTTGGCCCTGGGTCCCCCTGGGCCACTTCTGTGGGAAGAAACAAACTCCCTTGGGGCGCCCTGGAGTGCAGCGGCAGATACCCTCGCTGGTTCCCGAGCCTCAGTCCCCATGCCCCAGGATACACTGAAATCCCATCCTGTCCCCTCCAGAGGTCCCAGGAATACAGGTCCCCCGCCACCCCGCCCCTAGGAGCTCTGCGTCCTGCTCTGCGGTGTCTCCCACTCCAGCGAAATGCATGAACCAGAAGAAAACGTCCCCGACTCCACCTTTGGCACACATACGAATCTCAGGATGTGGCTTTCGGCTTCTCTCTCTCCCCCAAGAACCAGGAGTGCTGGCCCCACCCCTGTCCCAGCAAAACCCCAGAAATCCGTGATCCTCAGCTGCCACACCCCTTGGAGACCGAGCACAGGATTCCTGCCTTTCTGGAGAACGTAAGAGTCTAGGCTTCCAGCACTGCCACCTATAGGTCCAAAAGTCCTGGCCCCAGGGTCCTGTTGCTTGGGGTTCACTCCCTCGTCCTATCCTCCGGCTCCAGGGACTAGGGTCTCTGGGGCCCTCCTTCCCACACAGGCTCGTTCCTCCCTGCCTGGCTTGCTGCCTGCAGGCCACTTGGGGTTCCTCACTATCCCCCTCCAGTCCCGGGTCTAGATCCGTGGATCTCAGCTGCAGGCTCAGCTCTGGCCCCAGCCCCAGCCTTGTCCTCCGGCCCCATCCCCTTTCCTCTTCAGCTCTGCGGTTCTGCTCCCTGGACCCCAGAACACTGTCCTTGGAGGTCCCTGAAAAAGGTGCGTCTCCACGGGAATGAGGGGAAGTCCCCCTGAGAGTTTAGCCCTGGTCCTCCTTGCTGCTGCTGAGCTGACCCCGTACCTTGGATGGGGCCCTGGGGCAGGGATGTGGGAACGGGGCCGAAGCATATGACATCGCATCTGCTTTTTCAGGAGTCTCCCAAGATCCCCCAACATTGGAGGAAGTCCAAGCCCAAGGGGACTTTGACGTACCACCAGTACATGCCCCCAGAGCCGAGACAAGGATCCAGGGCTGACCCCCAGGCCAAAGGGTCGGCCCTGGGTCCCCCTGGGCCACTTCTGTGGGAAGAAACAAACTCCCAGCAGCCACCTCCTGGGTATGACCTCCGTTTCTGTTCTCGTGGAAGTCTGAGCCCCAAGAATACTCCTCCGTCAAACTCAGAGTCCAAGATCAGGGGAGTCTGGCCCTTAGACCTCTACTTCCCCAGATCTCAAGAGTCCCTGTCCCCAGCCCTTCCTCCTTCAGTTCCCAGGAGTCCCGGCCTCACGCCCTAGAGTCTGAGCCCCAGACTCTAGTTCCTGTCTCCCAGGCACAGGAACTAATCTGAGTTTGCACCCTCCCACCCAGAATTCTGGGCCCGCATTATCCTGTCTATGATTGCCTGTCTCTGAGGACCCCAGAAGCCTTTTCTCTCTGCCCTAACTAATCAGTTTCCTCCTCACGACTCTCTCTCCAGGATGAAGCCCACGCCCCTCTGTCCCTCCCTCCCAGGAGTCCCCAGCCCCTCGCCTCCTCCGCACAAGTTGGAACTTCAGACCCTTAAACTGGAGGAGCTGACGGTGAGTGCGGGGCGCAACCCCCCCACCCTTGGCTGGCCCTCTCTCGGCGGAGGGGGGTACGCAGACGTCTAACCCCGCATAGATGCCCCATCGGAGGTCCAGTAGCCCGGGTCCCCAGTCCCTCCTCTCTCGGTTTCCAATCGTCCAGCCCCGGCCCCTGCCTGTGCCCAGGAGCCCACCGAGCACGGCCTGTCCCCACCCCCCACCCCAGGTCTCGGAGCTCCGGCAGCAGCTGCGCCTGCGGGGCCTCCCGGTGTCGGGGACCAAGTCGATGCTCCTGGAGCGCA